TCTCTTCTTTCTCCTGCTGTTATTTCAGCCAAACATGTAAATCATGCATCATTTACTCGCCCTCACATCGTCTCAACCCCGCACGCTTGCTGTTTTTTGTCTTTCCGCTCCACTGGCATTCAGTGTTTGTCATGTTTGTGAAAATGAGATGTTTTAAATGAGCATCGCTGTAATGAATTCATACAGAAACACTGTATGGAGCATTCAACAAATCAACACTCTTTATTTCTCTACAAAGCCAATAACTCTGGAGAAATTCTATTAGATTTAAACATCAGCCTGATTAAATGGGTTTTATTTCAAATGTAAGTGGATGATATTATTTCACACATGACACAGAAAACAGCCCAGAAGTGGAAACGTGATCTTCACTTAGTTTGCACAAAGCCACTATCGAATAATTGAAGTTTAATTGGCTTGTTTATCTGTTTGGCAATCTTGCACTAATTGATGGAGCACCGTCGCTTAATGAACTTGACTTTGATTAGGAGGATAAAGATTTCAGCGATCCGTCGTTCAATGAAATCCATTAGGACGCGTCTCTGGAGGGAAACTTCTCCTCAGATAGCATCTGTTTTAATCAGAAACCTCAGAGGAGAAACAAACCCAAAGCAAAAGAACCATCGTAAACGGTTTTAAATGTGTGTTCAGACGCCCGCTGGGTGTTTATTCAAACACGTGTAATCGAGACAAAATCATGCTGAAGATCTTGGTGTTTCTTCAGCCAACTAGTGAGTTTTTTCACAAGACACTGTAATGATTTTCCTCAGTCATTCTGTTTAATGGTGTTTGAATCAGTCATCAACACTAGATAGTGCTCATGGGGATTTAAAGGGGTCATATGATGCTATTTTAAAGATCATTATTTTGTGTATTTGGTGTAACAGAATATGTTGACATGCTTTAATGTTCAAAAAACACATTATTTTTCAAATACTGTACCTTATTGTAGGTCCTCTATGCCCCGCCTCTCTCAAACGCTTCGTTTTCTACAAAGCCCCATCAGCGAGTCAGAAATCAAAACTCAGAGATATCAGTATGACATTTATCATCAAAATGATCTGAGCATAAATTCGAAATGTTTTTTTTTTTTGTACGAGTCTAATGAATTCTATATTTAATTTAAAACAATTGTGATATATGATTAATATAATTCATACTTTAAATGCACACGTTTTTATATAACTGATTTTATATTTTTTAATTTCTTAATAATCACTAAGATTAGATACATCTATTTATCAAAATGTCTTTCTGTTTATATATATATATATATATATTTAATATAATTAATAGTTCGATTATAACAATTAATACAAACAAATTCTAATACATTTTTTAATCACTAATTATGTATATAAAGATATAGATAAAATGTATTTAATAATAAATACGATAATTTTAGGTCATATTTTTATTTATAAACAATCTTTTGTATTTTACATTTTAATATAATTAATATATTATATATATGTATTTATTTATACATTTATTCAAAAATGTTTTGTCCTGAGCAATGAAAGAAACGTATGAGGAATAATATTTTCCTCTGGGCAGAATCTCTTTGAGATTCTCAAAGAGAATCTCATGATGAGATTCTCATCATGTAGTTATTTCATGGGAGCATAAATGTTAAAAATGACAGCAGGCACTTTATTCCTGCTTTTTCTACTCTCACTAAAGAGTACTAACGTCTCACTAAGACATCGCTGTATCGGGAGCGAAGTGCATTAATGGCCTTATCAGTGCAAACACACACAAATCAATCAGCACGACTCGACGCTGATGACTGCACTGATGAGTTTGTTCACTAATGAGGGCTTGTCTTGACAAACTCAGTCCAGAACCGAAGGGAGGAACACAGTCAGACTTACCGAATGTTCTGTCTTCCCTATTTCTCCAGCTGAAGCTGTGTGGTTGTGAATTGATATTGTTTTCTGTCTGACAGTAACAGGTCTGACGGATGGAGGAGAGCGTTTTATAAACTGTTGAGGCGGGCAGGAAGAGATGAGAAGCTTCAGAAGCTTCAACAGAACAGAAGATTGGTTCCTGATGAGTGAAGAAGGCCATAATTCAGACGCTCTCCTTCCCTGGATCTGTTCAGTGAAACAGCAGCTGTGAGACTCACTGCACACACCTGCACGGTATATTTACAAACACACACATACATAATCAACATATTAATATATGCAGACCAGATGAAAGCAAAACGTGAGTTGTAGTTCATGTCTATGGTTTTAGGTTTATGTATATGTTACACTGGGAAAAAAAATCTCAAAAGTTGTTAGTAAAAGTCACAATTAATTACAAAAAGATGGCAAGTAACACATTGAATTTAAATTTTTAAGTAGAAAATCTGAAATAGTATTTTCTTGTAAAATGTGCTTTAATAATCAATGATCTTAACTACTAAAAATGTCAAAAGACAAAAAAAATGTACATATGCATTTTTGTAAATTTAAAATCAGAAAACTGCTTTAAGAAGCAGCATAAAAGTATATACACTACACTGTAAAAAAATATTTTTCGAAGGTGTAAATGGGGTTTTATTTTCACATTTTTACATTTAATTCAATGTGTTACTTGCTTATATTTGTCAAATTTACTACTAATTTCTGAAGGAAAATTGTTTCAAAGTAAATCCTACACCAAAGGAGTGATATTATTATATTATTATTATATAATATATATAAGTGATAAGTCTTCTAAAGATGCTCTGTGTGAGGAACCCAAATTCAAGACAAAAATCCACTTTTTTCCAAGCTTGACAGACTTTGGTGAATATGAAGCTTCATAGAAATGCATTAATATTTTTTTTTAGTTCAAATAAATGCTGTTCTTTTGAACTTTCTATTCATTTGTGAATTCTGAAAATGAAATGTATCAGGGTTTCCACAAAATTATTGTGCAGCACAACTGTTTTCAACATTGATAATAATCAGAAATGTTTCTTGAGCAGCAAATCAGCATATTAGAATGATTTCTGAAGATCATGTGACACTGAAGACTGGAGGAATGATGCTGAAAATACAGATCACAGGATTTAATTACATTTTAATTCACGTAGAAAACAGCTATTTGAAATTGTAATAATTTTTCACATTTTTACTGTAATTTTGATCAAATAAATGCAGCCTTGGTGAACAGAAGAGACTTCTAACCCACACATTAAAAATCTGTGTATACCCTTTCAGTCGTAGCTTACTCTGCTCTCACAAACACACACACAATCAGAACGGTTGATTGTAGTGTAGGGATGTAGGGTATCAGCATGCTCCTCCTTATCTTCTTGCCTCCCTGGATGCTGTGTATCATAGTGCCTTAAGATTTATGACAGATTGTAAATTTTCCACGCATCACAAGTGTATTATATAATAGAGTTGCCTGGTCTTCTCTTGCTGTTCGAAGGGAAATGAATTGGTAACTATTGATTTACAAAGCAATTTTTTTTTTGCCACTTATCTCTGTTGTTTGACTCAACAAAAAGTAGTTGTTAACTATTCATTGTGTTCCCAGTCTTGTTATAATCTCTATGCACCTTTAGATACAACCAATTTAGGTAAAACTGCTTTTGAATATGCTGCACCTTCAGATTGGAACTCTCTTCAAATGAAACTGCGGCTAAATCAGTTGGTGTCTTTCAGTAATTTTAAAACACTTATGCACGCAATAGAAAATGATTTAATGATTTGTAAATGCTTCTAATGCTGTGCTTTTATTGATAGGTTATTGTGGCAATGTATTGTTGTTTGTTATATGTGTATTTGTATAACTGGGCCACCTATCTTGGCCAGGACACTACTGTAAAATACATTTTTAATCTCAGTGAGGTTCTTTCCTGGTTAAATAAAGGCTTAAGAAACAAAAAGATAAATCTCTCTCACTTTAAAAAACAAACAAACTCAGGGTAAAGGAACAGCAGCTGCAACCCTCCTTGTAGTGAGTACTGTCTTTCAATTGCATTTTCGGTATAAAAAATGATCTGACTCACACAAGGCGTAGGGTTAGTTACGACTTGGGACACCAGTTGTTACTTGGCACATGAGAACTTGCCTATATCTGCATCTCCAAATCTAGTAACACAGGTCAGTGGTTGTGGCGCTTTCCATAGGGACCCCATATGTCAGTACTGATGTAACGTGAATGTGACTGACTGAAAGGGAATGTCTCGGTTGCGTATGTAATCCTCGTTCCCTGAAGGAGGGAATGAAGACGTTACGTCCCTCCTGCCACAACCCTGCACTACACTGCTGAACGACCAGGACATGGTCTCAGCACAAACCTGAATGCAAATTCCACTCGCCAATGTTCATTAGCCTTTTTGTACCACTCAGAGGAGGTTAGGTATCAGTATCGACGTAATGTCTCTGTTCCCTCCTTCAGGGAACGCGGGTTATATATGTAACTGAGACATTTTTAAGCCTGTTGTCCTGCTTCTCTGTAACTTGTATTCTTGGAGTGTTTGTCTGAGACTGACATCTAGTTGACATTTTATTACCAGGGTTCCTCGTTCCTAGTCCTGGAGAGTCACTTTCACACAGAGTTTAGTTTGATCTCTAATTACATGCACCTGAATCAACTAGTCATGGTCTTTGCATATTCTTTAATAACAGCCAGGTGTGTCAAAAATAAACTCAGCAGGAATGTGGCTCTACAGGAGGAACTTGATTTACAGACTCACAGACACACCTGTTTTACACGTGACTCAAACACAGAACCAGGAAACAGGAATCACATGAGTTCAGGGAATGAGAAACTGAAGTGTAGTTGAGCAGTTGTGTGTTTGTGTCTCTGTGTTCATGCTGTAAAATGGCAGGAGCCAGAGTTTTTCAGGATGAGTTCATGTGTTCAGTGTGTCTGGATCTCCTGAAGGATCCAGTGACCATCCAGTGTGGACACAGTTACTGTAAGAGCTGTATTACAGGTTGCTGGGATCAGGAGGATCAGATGAGAGTCTACAGCTGCCTTGTGTGTTTGTGTCTCTGTATTATTGCAGTAAAATGGCAGAAGCCAGATTTTCTCAAGATGAGTTGATGTGTTCAGTGTGTCTGGATCTGCCGAAGGATCCAGTGAGCATCCAGTGTGGACACAGTTACTGTAAGAGCTGTATTACAGGTTGCTGGGATCAGGAGGATCAGAAAAGGGTCTACAGCTGTCCTCAGTGCAGACAGACCTTCAGTCCAAGACCTGCTTTAGCTAGAAACACCATGCTGGCTGATCTGGTGGAGAAACTGAAGAAGACCAAACTCCCTACAGACTGTTACGCTGGAGCTGGAGATGTGCAGTGTGACGTCTGTACTGGAAGAAAATACAAAGCCGTCAAGTCCTGTCTGATGTGTCAGGAATCTTACTGTCAGAATCACCTTGAACAACATGAGAGTTTGTTTAAAGGAAAGAGACACAATTTAACGGAAGTCACTGGACGACTGCAGGAGATGATCTGCCAGAAACATGAGAAGCTTCTTGAGCTTTTCTGTTGCACTGACCAGAAATGTATATGTGTGCTGTGTATGATGGATGAACATAAAAACCACGACACTGTATCAGCTGCAGAACAGAGGACAGACAAAGAGGTATTTAAAACTAGCGATCAAGTTAATACTCAGCATAGTGATCCAGTTATCTGTTTGCTTTCTGAAAGTCGCAGCTTAATTACACAAAACACAGAAACACTTTCAATTTAAAGCTCTACATCTGTGTCAGTTTCACATTTATAATACTTACACTTGTAGAGTGAAACAGGCCTTACTATTCATGTGAATTCATGTACAATGATTGTAACGGATCATCAATTCTAGACTTTGAATCTACAGCCATTAGTTATCAGTTCCACTTCAGCTGGATTCATCTGTTGACATGATGATTTAGTGCCAGTAGTTGTCTGTGAGATTTAATATCATCCGTTTGTCCTGCAGAAGCAGCTGAAGGAGATGCAGAAAACGTTCCAGCAGAGAATCCAGCAGAGAGAGAAAGATCTTCAGCAGCTGAGAGAGGCTGTGGAGTCTCATAAGGTGAGTCTGGAGAAGAAGAGAAGTTTGTCTCCGTCTCAGTTCAGACTCACTGAAGCCTGAATCACTGTGTGTCCTAACAGCGCTCTGCACAGACAGCAGTGGAGGACAGTGAGAGGATCTTTACTGAGCTCATCCGCTCCATTGAGAGAAGCCGCTCTGAGCTGATACGGCTGATCAGAGATCAGGAAAAGACTGCAGTGAGTCGAGCTGAAGGACGACTGGAGCGACTGGAGCAGGAGATCAATGATCTGAGGAGGAGAGACGCTGAGCTGGAGCAGCTTTCACACACACAGGATCACATCCAGTTCCTGCAGGTAACAGATCTAGAAGAACAGGATCATAGTGGACTTGAGTCAGATCCTGCTGTGACAGAGACTCACAGAGAAACATTTCATGAGTGTCTTATTATATAATCATCAGTCAGACTCTCATCTGATCATCTTCTTCTGAAAGAGGCGCCACTTACAAATGAGCTCTTAATCTCTTAGGAATCATTTCTCTGAGCTCTTTCTTCTGGAAGATATATTTAGTTGTCAAACACCACTAGCGCCTTCAACAGTTAAAAACTTCACTGACATTTCAACTTTATACCTAATTTTTCCTTCTAATGTTTTTACATCATGGTGAAATCAGTGAACTCAATAGTACTGATTCTGAGTAACATTCATCAAAATTGGATGAGGTGATCTTAAACTTGATAAAATGGATTTTCATTTGCCTGTGACATATTGATGAATTTCACCATGAAACCCCAAACACGAAGTGAGGCTGTATATTATCAAAGTGCATATCCAGTTAAATAATGTACTTTATTTAGATCTAATCTAGGCTACTGGTGAAATCAGGTATTATGGGGAATAGCAAATATTTGCCCAATATTCAGTATCCATTCAGTAGTTTAATAGTAGCCTTCATTAAAGCTCTAGTCTAGACACGTTCATTTTGTCCCGCGCGCTGAACATGGAAATATAAACAAGACGTTTGATTGTTTGCGCAGCTGTGGCGCTCGCTCAAGACAATAGACGTGTAGGTCGTGAATGAATGATTAGGAAAGATTACTTGGAAATATTAAATATTATTACCCTGTCTGTCACTTAAATGGCTCTCATGTCAGAACTTTTCTTTCCCGTTAAATCACTCGTATAAGCGGCGTCCCCGTGTGGAGCTGATGAGTTTTGATTTCTGTTTTCTGTAGAGTTTCCAGTCTCTCTCAGCACCTCCTGAATCTATAGACATAAATGATGATCTCTTCAGTTCTCTCGTCTCTTTTGATGGTCTGAGAGAATCTGTCCGTCAGCTGAGAGACAAACTGGAGGATTTCTGCAAAGAGGAGCTCAAGAAGATCTCAGACAGAGGTAAAGTTGATTAGGAAAGATTACTTGGAAATATTAAATATTATTACCCTGTCTGTCACTCAAATGGCTCTCATGTCAGAACTTTTCTTTCCCTTTAAATCACTCGTATAAGCTGATGAGTTTTAATTTCTGTTTTCTGTAGAGTTTCCAGTCTCTCTCAGCACCTCCTGAATCTATAGACATAAATGATGATCTCTTCAGTTCTCTCGTCTCTTTTGATGGTCTGAGAGAATCTGTCCGTCAGCTGAGAGACAAACTGGAGGATTCCTGCAAAGAGGAGCTCAGGAAGATCTCAGACAGAGGTAAAGTCCTGGAGATTCATCTGCTCTCAGAAACGAGTCCATCATCATCTCATATCATGGAGAACATCATATTAGAAATGTCTTAGGAATGGATGCAGGATCATGAGAATCACACTGTTCATGTCTGTTGATTTCCACAGTCACATTCACCAA